TAGTAGCGTCCTTGCTCCTAGTAGCAAGGCCAGGAGCCCCTAGTAGCTTCTTGTTACCAGTATATTCCGGATTATTTTCATGGGTGTGCTTTTTTGGGTCAACGACTCTGGCCTGCAGGACATTGCTTCAAGATCCAACTTGGGCGAGCTGGTTGGAGTTCGCGGAAAAGTTCTGAAGCCGTGAAGACATGCTGAAGCCATGCTGAACATGCTCGAACCTACTTCAAGACAAGACAAGACTGCCAGTGTGAGGGCTGTTGAGTTCCTTTCCCATCAAAATACTACAGCTTTGCATGCAAGGCGTTGCGTGATTTACCAAGGCACTTGCGTTGGAGCCAACGGATCCGTACACCTTGGCTGTTAGGGCTGAGGCCTGCTCGCTTCATGCAATCTCTTTGAATCTCTTTGACATGTTGTTTATAGTAGCTTCTTGTTACTAGTAGCGATGCCAGGAGCCCCTAGTAGCGTCCTTTCTCCTAGTAGGAAAGCCAGGAGCCCCTAGTAGCTTCTTGTTAGTAGTATTTTTGTTTGTTTTTCTGGAGGCACACCTTTGCCTTGGCCACCGTGATGATTCCATAGGTGATTGCGATCAGGCACTCTTGTGGTGGCGGCGCTTCAAGAGATACCATGGATGTCACACGTGTTTTTGCTGAGCGCTTCAACAGAGTCATGTGGAGGCACTTGAGCTCAGTCCAGGCTTGGAATACGCCGTGCTTTGCTCAGACTACCACATCCAATAGATCATGTCCATATTTATCCTATTTATTCGTACATGTGGTCCAAATGCAAACTACAGATTATGCCTGCGCAGTCAATTGCAGAAGGACTGGTTTTCGCAGCAGTCAACAGGGTTCACGAGCACAACCAACCAACTTTTAAGCACCGGAGCAAGCTTTCAATCTGTAAAACGCAACGGCCAGGGTAGTTGTCCACCCTTGGTGCAGATGACATAGTCCTCAGCTGCAATTGCCGACCCACAAATGGTTAGCATTGGTTTCAGCCTGACTGCAACAATGAAAGCCAGTTCGTTTGCTCAAACCTACAGTCTGAGCGCACAAGTCATATTGATGTATTCACGAACATAGCAGGCATGAATACGGACGTCTCAAAAGTTTAAACCAATCTTTCTGCACTGAGAAAGGCTGACATAAAGCATGAAACTTAAAGCCAGTCTTTGCCACTTGGATATTTAGGCGTGCATGCAAGCAGGCTCTGATAGAAGACCAATAGAACAAATGTGCTTGGCACTGTATTCAAAGATGAAGGACCAGATGTTATGTTCCCAGCGCCAACAAAGCACACCTGATCGGCCTTCGATATGGTTGACGGAAATACAGAAGAAACACCCACACGAGCGTCTCGCAGAAACAAACTCGTTTCTTTGTGAAGCTTTCATAGCTGTAAGAACTTGTCTCCGCAGCTTGCGAGTGTGTTTGTGTGTGTGTGTGAAACCCTTGGAGTCACAGGGAACCTTTTGGTTTTGACTGTTTGAGCAGGGGGCCATCCCTCTCACCATTGGTGGATGGCCAAATGGTGAGAGCTGTAAACGTAGCTGCTACTTTAAGTGTTTTGAATTTCATTGAAATCTACTTGTAACGGCGATTCTCTTGTGAAGCTTCGTTCTTGTACATTTTGCATGTCCCAGTGCATATGTGCAATTCCTTTCTGGACGAGTTCTTTGAATTCCTTTCTGAAAGAACTCAGTGAATTTTGGCTTTGACCTGCCGACTTTCAAGCTCTTGCTTTGTGGACAGTACACCTGCAGATTGAACTAACGGTTGGGCGGCAGACTGAGAGACGCTTACCATGGCTGATTTCCTGCAACCTGGCTTACTCGGCCCCCCTTTTTTAACCAAGGTTTTGATCACCGTGACGTACCTGCTCTGATTGTGAGTTCAGAACATATTATATTGTTGCGGACCCTTCCAACTTGCGGTTTGCTGAGGGCCATTTTGCAGGTTTCAGGTTTCAGCGCTCTAGACTGGTATTGCAGTAACTAGAACCTAAAGGGCTAACTTCACTGGAACTTCACAACTGGCTCTTGCTCTTGCGAGCTCTTTGTCTAAGTGTGACCTGCAGTGCCGTCCCGCTGCGGTGCACTGTGTGAACCCATTTTTGGGGGCGCTGTCCTCACAGACCCTTAAGGGGGACTTCTACTGACATGTCGTTTTGCCTCAACCACCCCTGACAGTCCGCTTATGCTCGAGAGTGCTGATTCAACGCCGCAGGGCGTCCTGAACATTCCCATAGAATGACGTGACGCGTGACGCATCACGATTTCAATTTTTCAAGCTGCGTGAGCTGCTTTTCTTCTTTCGGCTTCCCTTCTTTTTCTAGGGCCTTTGTTCGTTGCTAAAGGCTTGTTGGGTGTAATTCATTTTCCAATTCAAGTGAGCGCCGACATGGCTGTTTGGCTACATGCCATGCGTTTCAGGCAATGCCCCCCCTGCCCCCCGGCCGTTCTTTCTTTTCTGCTTTTCGTTTGTTAGGCCTGTCTCTCGAGGCTCACCGTGACGTACCTGCTCTTTCAGGTGAGTTCAACCCATATCGTTGTGGACCCTTCCAACTTGCGGTTTGCTCAGGGCCATTTTGCAGGTTTCAGGTTTCGGCGCTCTAGACTGGTATTGCAACAACTAGGTCCTAAAGGGCTAACTTCACTGGAGCTTCGCAACTGGTTCTTGCTCTTGCGAGCTCTAAATCTAAGTGTGTGTTTTCTCTGTAGAACTATGTCTAGCGAATAGATCTCTGGTTTCTTTTGCGCCAAGATGAGCTGAATTCATGGAATGGATTACGATGGGTTACGATGATCACGATGGGGTTATGTATATTTCTTGCACGTTTGTTTTCGAGGTTGTCATTCGTGATCGAGCTTGTGAAGTCTCTCCCAAGCCTATCGGTTGAAAAAGGCGTCGCTGAGTGCAGAGTTATGCTTAGCTGCGATGTCCACCATGCAACTGAACATTGCAATGCTTTCGGGCGGCGTGAGCCAAGCGCCCCCTTCCGTCATCACGTTGTCGTATAGGCCATAGGACGCATTAGTATAAAGTATTTTAAAATCATATGGACCTTGTGTGCATGTTGATTCAAAATTGCATGGAGCGAATCCAACCCGCAGGTATTCAATCCAGGCTGCGGCTAGTTAGATCTGTTGACGCGGCAGTGGGGGACGGCCCCCTGCCATCCTTGGCAGGAAGCAAACCTTTGAACCCACTTGTCTTTCAGCGTTTTCTTGTGGACAGACTTTCAGGCCTGCAGGTACCTTAGTGTCAGGAAGCAAAGCTGGCTGTGTTGAGGTTGAGGTTGTGGTGCCAAAAAAGATCCTGCGCCCTGACCCCACCCCGCTGGTAGAGGTGGCAGGTCAGATGGTACAGGACTCGTGGGGGATCGGGCAGCGACATGGTTGCTGCAAGCATCCACCATTTTAGTTTCCGGCTACGCCGGGCCGGCCGACTTGCCCGACTGGCTTGTGCGCGGGGATGATCTTCCAGGGCGGATCGCAGCTCTGGAGGTGCTCGTGCAGGTACCAGCGCCTCCTGCCCGAGAAGGGCTTGCCATATAGGTGGATTTCTCTCAGACAATCTTGCGACAACGCCCGCATGGCCACCACCAATGAGGCAGCCGGTCTTGCAGTCTTCGGGAATTTTTGCAGCTCGGCCCAGGATTCACCGCCGGTTTGATGTGCTGTCCAGCCTCTGGACCCGGCCCTTTGGGAGGCCATCGGCCCAACCAAGGCCATGAAGCCGGATTGGCTTCGACGTCTGGCGTTTTGAGAAGAGAAGGAGGCCTTCCATTTGTTGCGTCCTGCGTTGTTTGCATTCATCTCAGCTAGACTAGAGCAGCCCTGGACCGTGGAGCTCCGTCATTCGAGCCAGTGCAAGTTTCTTAGAGTTACTTGTGAAAAGAAGTTCGGGAAGCCGGCGATGCTGCGCGCTTTGAATTCAGCAAAATCATTGCCCGTGAGACCGCCGGGCCCTTCAGCAGAGGATGCAGGGTGGATGAGGCCGCAGCCAAAAAAGACAACCTTCGACCCAAAAGGTCAAAATTTGCTAGGCTACACATGGTCGAGGCGGTCAAGGGGGCAGGGCGGTTGCAGCAATGACAAATGACAACGGCTGCAAAGATAAGGGCAAAGGAAAGGTGAAAGAGCCGAACGAAGCTACAAGGCGCGCAACTGAGAATGAACCTCAAGAGGAGGAAGGACAGTTCAATGTGTGTAAAGTTTGAAGCTCAAGCAGGTCTTCCCTTCAAAAGGGCGGGATTGACGAGTCAAACCAGCCGCCTCGCATGGACAGCAGGCAGCAGGCCGTGAGTCGGGCCTGACGAGCCAGGTGAGATACAGACAGACTCACAGACCGAGGATGGTCACCCACTACCTGGACACCGAGCAAAAACCTGCGTCGAAAGGCCGATCGTTGTCAGGCGACCGAGGGAAAGTGCGGCAGTGGGTTTTCTTTTTCTCTTTCGAAAAGTGTTTGTTGTGTTTGTTGAACGCGGGGGGTTAGTTTGGGCGAATTTTGGTCACCTCTCTCTGGGTGCACATGCTCGTTGCAGAATGTGAAGCCGTGCGGGATACTGCAACCTCACTCACCTGACCCAATCCACTGTGATCAGCGTGACCACTCACGACGTGCTATTGCGCGGCGGCCTCACGCTCTGAATGCGTTTTATATCAAGAGTGAACATAGGACTCAAACCAAAGTCACCAGACCAGAACCACAAATTGTTCATGCCAATCTGAAAGATTCTCTGGTAGTTAGTCGTGGCCAGTCTTTGGGCAAACTAGGCACGACATGAGACTCTTGAAGACCGACCTGACATGATTTTAGGACCACCGTTGCGTCGCATGAACAATCATGAACATGCATGAACATCAGCTGTGCAGCTTTGCTTGGCTTTGGAAGCCACGTCGCGCTTCCGGCTCATTACAGCTATGGTTCCAGCGGTCGTTCCTGAATGTGCGAGATCGTTGACCTGGAGTCGATGCTTGGAATGTTCAGTCCGAACATTTCAAGACCGAACTGTGCACAATCCGGTAGGGGAAGGGGTGAAGCCAAGTAAAAAGAACATGTGCTTTGCAGCGCAGATGTAAAAGACAACCTTGCATCAATGAGATAAATTTAGATTTTGAGGGAATTTGAACTTTCGAACCTGAGGGATGATGCCATCCTCGTGTCAGACGAGGAATCTGAAGAGGAAGTCACCGAAGTCACGCCAGCAGCGGTGCTTTGTGTTGGAATTGTTGAAGCAGGTGCGCAGCGAAGTTGTCCCTAAGTGTTCACATGTCAAAGATTTGCAAAAAGGTTCTCGCCTCCTGTACTTGACGAAACACTTTGTGAAAACGAAGAGACTCAAGACTCCAAAAGATTCCAAAGGCTCTGTTGAAGTTATTGGAGTCTAAGAAACGCACCTTTCCCACTCAAATTTTCAATTGAAGAGGCATTTTCTTTCATTCTTTCGGTTTTGTCCATTAAGACTGTCTTTCAGGCACGGAGCGGCTGCTGGAGCTGCTGTGTCGGCGCCACGTCTCCAGCGTGGTGGACGCACGAGTCCAGCCACCCACTGAGTCATACTCCTTGTTACTAGTAGTAAGAATGCTCCTAGTAGCAATGCCAGGAGCCCCTAGTAG